GGACTCCATGATCCATGTGGGTCCTTCTAACTCAGAATATTCTGTGATTCTGTGAATGCTGTGTATGTATTTTCATTTCTTTCGTATGACTCCACATCTCTTGATGTCACAAGCTTTTTATTTTCATTGCAAGGTGCTATCATATATATATATATATGGATTTTGGCTAGGATAGAGGCAATTCTCTTTATCGTAGCTTGTTGAGGACTCTGTATTGGGTTTGTGACTAGTGTATAGCACAGGGATATTTTAGTTTCTGCCGAGCAGTGCTTACACTGCTTCTCGCACTGCCCCGCCATCAAGTAGGCTGGGATATCCAAGAAGCTGGGAGGGGATGCAGCTGGGACAGCTACCCCAATGACCCAAGAGATATTCCTTATGACTATCCATATGGTGTCATGCCCAACAGTGAATGCTGGAGGAAAGGAGGAAGAAGAGAGGATATTGAAAGTTAGGGCATTTGTCTTCCAAAGTCATCACTATGCATGACGGAGCCCTGCTTTCCTGGGGATGACTGAACACCTGCCTGCTGATGGGAAGTGGTGAATTCCTTGTTTTGCTTTGCTGGTGCACGCAGCTTTTGTTTTACCTATTGCACTGTCTACACCTCAGCCCATAACTTTTACCTTTTTCACTTTTACCTTTCTAAATCTCTCTCCTATCTGGCAAGAGAAGGAAGGTGAGTGAGCAAGCATGGGAATTACCTGCCTACCAGAGTTAACAGTAAATAATTTCAAGACAGTAAACAATTTCTAAGATCACTGTACCAAGACTGTCACCTTGAGCTCACATATCATTGTAACAACATGATTTTCTGCTAAAATCCCCTTTCCTGTTTGTGTTTTATATAATTTTGGTCCTCCATCATTTCCTATGTATCTTCTCCTCCCTAGTTAACATACACATCACCTTTTGTTACCCCTAGTATCTCTCTACTGACAGTTTTATTTCTATTGATATTACTTATTACAAGTTTTATATAAGCTTAAGAATGTCCACTGACTACAGCTTTTATTAACCTTGCTAAAGTAATACCTGCTTCAATTGTGGATCATCATATCCATTATATTAACCATACACATGAATTCAGCATTTTTCAAGATGACCTCCATCCATCCTAATCTTCAAGGACGCTCCTGCCTTCTCAGATGCAGGAAATGTAATTGTACATTAAATATACCATCCTGTGCACAAGGAAGTTTTCATAACATTCAGAAAAGTTACTAAAAAAAGCCCAGGTTTATCTAACAACTGTCAACTTACTGATCTTCTCTGGTTCCAGTCCATTTACTAAGAAATACAGGACATTCTAAAGGAGTTTTGACCTCCTGTTCTAGTCTGTGCCCTTCCTGACTTGTGAGAGAAGACAGCAAGCATATGGGCCTCACATGCCAAAAATAGCCCCACATCCTTCTCCTTCTTCCTTCAGCCTTGCTGCAGTGCATCTGGCTCAGATGATGTCAGTGCTGGCTCCCATCAGTCAGGGGGAAATTGGTTGTAAAAGGGCAGCATATGGGTGCAGACAAAGGGCCATCTAGAGCAGCCAGGGCAGTTGCCTCAGCAAGAGCAGGAACAAGGCAGCCCACACCACACTTCCCTTTTGGGCTCTCCCACCCTCTGACCAATATCTGCAGAGGGGTTTCCTCAGCTCAGTTTGGTTAGTTGAGTCAGTAACTTGCAGTGGCTCTCACACTCTCCAAGGGCTTGACCAGCCCCTGCCTTGAGCCCACTTCAGCTTTTAGCCCACACAGCATCTGTGGGTGAGGGGTCCCCAGGTCTACCTGCTGCACAAGGCATCAACTCCTGATGCATGCTCTGAGCCTGGCTCTGGCTTCCTGCCTTTGAGAGCTCTTGGATTTTTGTGCTTTAGGAAACAGAGGTTTTTCCCACTGTGTCTGTGCCCCTGGTGATTTCCTATATGTTAACACATCATGCAATCCCTTTTCCAAACTGCACAGTGCTAAGCTAATCAGACTGACCTTGTACAGAAGCTGCTCCAAACTTTTGATGATCTTTGTTGCCCCTCTCTATTTTTTTTTCTGTTTCTGCTTTTTGGGATGAGAAGGCTAAGTAAGGGTGCAGGTTATCTATGGATTCCTGCAGTGCCATCTTCATGTTTCCTGTTGTGTTCTGTGTTCCTTTACCAATGATCTGTAACATTTGATTGTCTGAGTGCTGCCACATACTTTACTGATATTCTCAGATATGTAACTAATGCCATAGTTTCCTTCTCAGTGACAGTGATCATATCAGAGCTTTCTATCTTATATGACAGGCTAAGATTTTTCTTCCTCGTAGGTGTCGATTCAATTTATACACAGTGAATTTCATCTGTTTTTTGATTGCCCAGTCATTCAACCTCTCAAGGTCCTTCTGCAGTTCTTTGCAGCCAGTTCTTGTTCATGCTATTTCAAATAACTCAGCATCAGCAGCAGACTCGTTTCAGCTGTTGAACAGCAGAGGTTCAAGAGATGCTAGTTAATCCAAAGCTACCAAAAAGTACCTCTTCTCTAAAGGAATATTCAAGAGAAGAACGGCATGATCTGCACTCAGAAAAAAAAAGCACGGCTAATGAGTTCCTTGCATTTGCTCTGAATCTACTCCAAAGACCATTGGAAAGGAGATGGCAGATAGTTTTTACTGAAGACTTTAAGCATACCTGGAGAAAGAGGTGCAGGAAGCAGATAGACTTCTGAAGCAAATACTCCTAGGTGAAAATAGTCCTCTTGGGTTTTAATGCTGTTTGAATTGTGCCCTTCATGTAAGGTCTAATGCAAATGACATGGTGAGACATCCAGAGCTTAAAAAGAAATATACCCCCTACAGTTTGCCCTAATGCACTTTTAGGCAGTGGTTAGGTATTTAGATTGAGATGGATGGTGTAAGAAATAACAAAGAAAAGCATATCTAACAGTGGATACTATAAGGCTATCCTCTAGTTTAGTTTAGTCAGGAGGGAGCCGGAGCATTTTGCTAGTTCTTAATTTCCAGTTTTCGTTATAATGGCATATACAGACACAGCTGCCAAAAGAAATGGTGCTGCCTGTTCCCTCCACTACATCTCCAGTTGTGCCTTCCTTCCCTTCCCCCATGCCCGCTTTGTGCTTTTTTTCCACCAAAAACTTCTGTCCAGTTGAAAGCAACTGTGAAGCTGCAGCATTACATGCTGCATCAGAAATCCCACCAAATTTTAACAAACTCTCTCTGTACTGACTGAAGTACTGCTGCCTCTTTCCTTCTCAAATAACTTCCTTAGCCCTCATGCAAGCTCCAAATTGACCCGTTTTTCACTGCTTGTCTTGGCCTCTCAGCTTCTCACTGCCTACACATAGCTGCTTCTTTGTGTGGTACCTTCGCTTCCAATTGACATCAGTGTATGAGAGCTCCCCCCTTGCACCTGCTGCCATAGTGAACAGATTTCCTGTAGTTCTGTTCCTTACAACCTCTGGTTCATCTCATAGCTCAGCTGCAAACCCTGCTTTTCTTCTTCTTCTTGCATTCATCTTTGTTGTTCACTCTCCGCCCCATCACAGCTACACCAGACACCTTTTCTGTTTCAGTAGTAAATAATGTATTCACCAGAACATGCTCCTGAAGGGAAGCCAACTCTCCTTGCAAATTCACGTTCAAATTAAATTAAGAAAAAAAAAAAGGTTTTGCACAGCATAAGAATGAGGAAATCCCAGATATGTTAGACTTACTTATTTTTATCTGTCCAGGATCAAGACATCTCGATCTTTTTAAGCTAGGCTCACATGTGGCTCTGCAACATCTATCACAGAGCAGAAGAGTAAAACAAATATTATGCTTATGTTCTAATATGGATTTTTTTCAAGCTATTCTTCTGATCATCTCTCCTTTCATTTAAAACCCATTTACATGGCACCTTTTGAAGCATATCTGCAGCATGGACTACGGAAGCTGCAATGAGGTGGGAGGGTGGGAAGGCGTGGCTGTGCAGAGCAGTAGCATGGGCTGGCACAGATGAGAATGAGATGGAGGCTGTGCCCATGGGAGGTAGGGCACACAGCCAAGCTGCCATATCTCACCAGAAGACTCAGGACAAAAGATGATGATAACCATCGCTTGGCTCAGTGGTTTGCTGTGGCCATTGGCTCCTGCTCCCCATATTGCTGCCCTCTGCAGAAAGAAGAACCTGGCCGATACTCTTCCATTGCCTGATCCTTCTGGAGCCACAGTCTCTGAGCTGCTTCCTTTTCACCTGCATATCCTCCTGATGTCAGGTTACCACCTTTTATTTCCCCACAGTAACATCTTCTGCAGAAAAAACTAACACTTTCACATTCCTTAATTTTCATTTCAGTTGTTCAAAACCAGAATTCATTTCACTTTCAGTGGTAAAGTTCATCACCAAATGATTGTTTTCCAAAAAAAAAACCCAGTAAAATCAAGGGCATTTGGGGTTAATCTGCAAAGAACTTTTAAATATATATGTCATCCACAGAACTGAAGCAAAAGTTTTCTGCATGGCTTTAATCAGTGCTTAGGTTAGATATACTATCATACCCTATCCAAAATGAGATGTTCTGAGTTTATGCTTTAGTTAATTCTGTGGATACTTAAAATACCTCTGGAATATGCTTTGTGATGTTATTAACATAAAGTTAATATTAATGATAAATAGGGAAATAAAATAAATTAGAGTGCATAATGCAAAAGATAGAAGTCCTGAACTCAGTTACTAAACCATGAAACAAGAGACTTCAGCTAAACCAGGATTTTGTTTAAAAAAAAAAAGAAAAAAACAACCAACTTTTTAAAACAAACTAATGTAAATCTGAAAGAAAAAGGTGAGACTTTAATATGGCTGTTGTTACAGGTGAATACATTTCATTTTCCAGAATCACCTTTTTCACTGTTCATCTAAAACTGTAACAGAGCAGCTGTTTGACTTTACTAGCATCGTTTTCTGATCCTGTTCCAAAGACAGTGACTCAACCGGTGTCAGGGTAGACTTCAAAACAAGACTATCACTCAATTAAAAATATTTATAGGCTTAAGAATCAAGTTTGAAGTCCTAATCCAGGGGACATACAGTTCAAAAAAGTTAAGCCTTTAGATGTTTATTTTGACTGAATGACTTCCCATAAACTTAAGTTAGTCCAAGAAAAGAATTAGATTCCCTAGACATACCTGATCACTAGCTGAGGATTTATATTGCTGTTCTCCAGGCTTTAAAAATGGACTGTAGTGATAGTAGTGCGAACTAGCCATAATTCGAAGTCAGTAGATCAATTAAGAACAAATCTGTGAGAAACAGAAGCAGGAACACTGGTGGTTTAGAAAGCAGAATAAGCATGTATTTCTCATCAACTGTACTTTTTACTGAATTAATCCCCCCAAATCCAAAGTTTCCTCATATCTTTTTCTCACACTCTTCAGTATCTACTGCTTGACACAAACTGGGATTTAAACATTACAGTACCGTCACTGAGTAAACAAACATTCCCACATTCATTTTTTTACATCTGGATATGACATTATTTTCTATTGAACTGTCATAATTATGGTGGGTTTTTCTCACAGCACATGTGTATCTGGATTTGAACTTGTCATTATTTGGCTGTTACATTCATTTAAATAGACCTTACTCCTTTCACATGTCATCTTACACCCATAAGATGTTCATTGTATACATCCATTTTCCTATGTGGATTGAGTGGATCCCATAGAAGGGAAGGTCTGGTGTCTTGGCAGTCACAGTGACTCTGGCACAGAATCCCTCAAAAACACTCTCACCTTCACAGAGCTGTGGCAATAGCTTATCCTGCAGCACTGGGATACTACTTTTCTACTACTGCAGTCAGTGCTATCAAATGACTTGCTGGTGCTGTGATGCAGGTGAAAATGCTGGCTGAGGAATAATGCTGTGCCTTGCCCACAGCTGATCACCTTGGCTGCCATGCCTGAAGGAGTGGTGGGTGCTGAGGAGGGACTGCCCTGGGCTGTGTGGAGGCTCTCAGAGCTGCTGGTGTAACGGCCACAAAGAGCATTCAGGCACATCAGCTTTTATTTTTCCCATTTTCATGCCCATATACCTTATAAACATAGGATCATTTAAATGACATCTTAAGCAGAAATATACGATATTAGAAGTGAAAGTATGGAAACCGTGTTCCCTGCATGCCAGAAATCCAAAGAGTGCTAGAGCAGGATCAGCATCTGGGGATTGAAAGCCCAGTGCATTGGGTCTCCAGCTGGAGGATGGAGTCTGGTTTCAAATTCAAGTTGGTCCATATATGTCTGTGCTGAGACTTCCTTAGAGTTTGTATCAGGAACTGCAGGCTATTATGTGATTGCATGTGACTGTTAGCAGTAATTGATGGGGTTTTTGCTGCTCTGTTGAAACAACTCTTCTGTTACCTGCAGAGCTTCCAGAGCAGCTGGAGGAGCATGCTGACACGGGAAGACTGAAGGGCTTAGTGCAGGGTGTGCACCCAGCAGACTCTCGTATGTGGGATTGAGCAGGGCTTAGAGAGTTTATCTCAGCTTTCCCCCTGCCCAAAAGGAGTCACACATCTGTCATCTAACATGCTGCAAGTGAGTGTGTTCAGGTGATAGAATCTCGCCCTGGGGTTTTACCCTAATGTGTTTACACCCTGGGTGATGAACACTGATATCTTCTTCCTTTGAATAAACGAAATAAGGTGAACTCTACCACAGCTGATGAAAGGCCTCTTTTTTTCCAGTTCTTGAATTATTTCAGTGATTCTTTGATGTGCCAGCAGAAAATCCTTCGGCGTTCTTTTTGAGTGGGAACACTCCAGTGGGATGTGTATTGCAACAAAGGTTTCATGTGGGGCTTTTGATCACTTCCCACTTCTCACCAGTCCTATATACAAAGATGGTCTACACCTTTTTTGCAATCACACTGGGACCTACTACTGAGTTGCTTCTCTGTTCTGACCTTTCCAAAGTATTTCAGTCACTACTTACTCCCTGAAACTCACCTCCTGTAAGTACAGCCTCTATTCTCCCCTTTTTAGATAGTTAATTTAGCAATATGCCGTGGGAGTGCACTAAGACATCACTTGGCTGGATGGGCTCTCTACTGAGCAGTCCTGGCTGCTCTAGTTGACTCATCTTTTTGTCATTATTCCTACACAGTCAGTGTTCACACTGTACAATTTCTTAGCAGAAATGTTATGCTCACTCAGATCTTGAACAGCAATAAGTCTTATACTGCTCTGTGCAGACTTCACTACAGTATTTCCCATCCCTTAACAGTTCTTCTTGGACAGCTCTATCTTTTCAATCCACCAGGTCTCATACCATTGAATATTTTGATGTTACACAGTTTCACCTTTTCTTTTTTTAAAAAAATCAGGCTTTTGTGTGATACTTGCTCAAATAACTGACAGAAAACTTCTGCATTTATGATGGCCCATATTCATCAACCTTGAGCTCTCATCAACAATAAATACCAAGCATCAGGTCTGACAAGGCTTGTTTTCATTAGTGTCTTCCACACTTACTACATCAGTATCTTCAGTTTACAACTGATTGGTTCTTTACAAGCAATTACATTATTTTTAGTGACTTTTCTCAGGGCAGGAGTTAAGCTGACCTGCCTAGAGTTCCCTGAGGCTAGCCCTTACTGAGAAGGAGTCTGTCAGAAGCGCAGCCTGACCTTCTGGGGTTGTGCCGGAACCCAATTGTCACCTAACCCAAACACTGGCAGAGAATTCTTTGGCCAAGACCTGAGACTGGGGAGGGAGCTGGCAACTCAGACCAACCAATTTCTTAATATTCATGACATCTTCCCAAGTTACCCAATGGACTGGAAAACACCTGAGATATCTTCAGAAATCCTGAGTACCATCCTCCTGCTTTCTGTTTGTGCTGGTTTTGGCTGGGATAAAGTTAATTTTCTTCATGGTAGCTGGTGTGGGGCTCTGCTTTGGATTTGTGCTGGAAACACACAAATTTGTGGTGTTGATAATACAGGGATGTTTTAGCTGTTGCTGAGCAGTGCTTATACAGAGACAAGGCCTCTCGCACCACTCCACCAGTGAATAGGCTGGGGGTGCACATGGAGTTGGAAGGGTACACAATCAAGACAACTGCCCCCAGCTGACCAAAGGGATATCCCATACCGTATGGCATCATGCTCAGCATATAAAACTGGGTGGGGAGAAGAAGGAAGGGGGAAACATTTGGAGTGATGGCATTTGTCTTCCCTGGTCACCCATGTTATGGGTGCTAGAGCCTGCTGTCCTGGGGATGGCTGAACACCTGCCTGCACATGGACAGCAGTGAAGTCCTTGGTTTGCTTTGCTTGAGTGCACAGCTTTTGCTTCACCTGTTAAACAGCCTTTATCTCAAGCCACAAGTTTTCTCACTTCTCTTCTAATTCTCTCCCCATCCCACCAGGGGAGAGTGAGCAAGCAGGTGTGTGGGACTTAGTTGCCAGCTGGGGTTAAACCACAACACTCATTCTTTGCCCTCACCAGCAGATGGAACAGCTACACTGAGTAGCCAGCATGGCCCAACACTAAGATTTGTCTCTCCCTAAGATTTCTAAACATACCCTTATTAGTCTTCCTAATCATTGGCTTCATATCCTCACTACTGTAGGGTTTGCCTGAGAATGTGCAGATGGGCAACATAACAGGCATCCAGGCATTTCTAAGGAAACAGGAAAAAACATACTCTCTTCCGTGACCTTCACACGCCTTGCCTGTTCACAGGTATTTTCCTGACTATGCTAAGTCAGGAGCCAGTCCTGCTAGTGGTACTGTTGTTTCTGCCTGATTAGAATGGCAAAGGAAATATTTCTCTGGTTGGTGACACAAACCACATGTGACAATTCTAGGAAACCGGGTTGTCAAAAATAGATTTACTTTTTAAGAAGTAAACTATATGAATTAAAAATCCTCCTAATTTTATTCTCCAATTCAGGAAATGCCATGAGATGACACAAAATTTTTCATTTATTAATGCCTGGAAAGAGGAAAGCTGGTTCCATTTCAGACACCATCAGATAATACCTTTGCCAGAGGATGTTATTACAGTTTTAGGCTAAATATATAATATAAATAACCTGTCTTATGCTGTACAAAAAAATCTCTGCTGGCTGGAAACAATTATTGTGAGATAATACATGGAAGTTTGCCAGCTGGGCTTGTTACATTTTCTAACTCTACATTTATAATTTACATTAGTGCTCAGCACTATCTCCAAGCACAGCCAAGGCTCTATTGCTCTATTTATGAACCTACGTTATGTATCAGTGATAAAATTACAGGGCTGAAGTAAACCATGCAGTGAAGTCATCTAAACCAAATCCTTAGAAGAGATTCATTTCCATTCAGGAAACACTCACCACCTCTAAGTGGACCACATACAATATGAGTGAGTTATCATTCCAATTATTCGGCCAGCTTTACAACTTGCCAGTGGCTCAATGCCAGCATTTTACTTAACAGGCTAATAAAAATTTGATTGTCAAAGCCACCAGGTTAGCCACACACACAGAAGCAGCTGAGGGGCAGAGAGTGAGCTGTAGGAGCAATTGCCACAGCAGCCACCTTGGTCAGACACAGGGCCAAGGTATTGTCTGTTACGTCATGGCCTGCGCTCAGTAATAAAATTAATCAAAAATACTCCCAAGAGCTATCTGGGCCAAAGAGCAGGTGGACATAAACCCCAGTTTTCCCTCCACCAGTGATCTGTGGAGAAAGGTTAAGTGTGGGAAAAAGTGTCCTGCCAAGCCTGTCCTGGGACAAAGGATGTACATAGGGAGGGCAGTCATCCCTCCTCTGCCCACCAGTGTTTGAAAGGGAATGCAGGGCAGAGATGGACAGGGAAGCAGAGGGAGCAAATGGCTTCCACAGTTTTTTGCATTCCTGGATCAGCAAGCTGTGATTGCACAGGAGGTGAAATCCTAGGAAAACCAGGAACAGAATCTCACAAGCAGATCACAGGACCAGATTTTTACAGAGAAAACAGACCTTTATCATGTAGCAGCTTGTCAGCAAACTCAGTATGCAACAGGGTGTGCCTACGAAGAAACTCTGGGAGGGTTGTTTTAATGTGACCTATATTTTCTTGGTCTGATCAGAGAGAACTGGAAAAATCTCTATGGGAACAAGTGTCTGGATGGAGATAAGGCTACAGTTGCAGTTCATGGTTGCTGTGTGATTTGCTATGGAAACAGATAAACATGGGTCCATTCAAAATGTTGAAGTTAGCCCCTGGGAAACCTTCTCCCGGTGAAATGAAAGCCGTGGAAACTATGTGCATGCCTGCTTTTAAATGGCTGAGTGAGACTGAAAGTTTTGTTTCCCTTTTCACTTTCATTCCCTTACTACTTGTGCAATACTTATTTTAGAGTGAAAAAAGGAACAGGAGCAAAAATGCTCACTTGGCTTTTTGAAGTCAGACCAAATGCTTTGTATGTAGCAGATAGGACTTTGGGCCAGGGGAAGGTTGTTGCAAGGCTCTGTCAGCTGCTGTGCTCAGGTGCAATTTGTGCTAACTGCCATGGTGCGAGCAGAAGTCTGGCACCCGGGAGGGCAGTGTTGGTCTGAGGGAAGATACTCTGATCTCTGCTCCCCATCCATTGGACATATGCCAAAACACTGCAAAAGCAGGATTTGTACTAACTTTGGGTCCCCAATTCAAAGCTCATAAGTTAGGATATTTGTCTGTCTTACTGGCAGATCATGGCAGGAGATCAGTTTTCACAAGGTCTTACAACAGCCATAAAAACTGACCTTCTGGAGGCTCCCATCTCTCCCAATTGACTGCAGAGGGAACCAAGGAAGATCACCCGAAGTGTGAAGAACCCCAAACTGTGGGAGACAACTCTGGGCTACATAAACAGCCCTTGTGAAAACAACCAGAAAGAGAGAAAGTGGTGCATATGGTTTGGCAGAAAGTAAGAGGGAAAAGCAAGAGAAATAGGGAAGCTAAAAGAGGACAAGGGGAAGAAATGGAAAGGAATGAACATGAGTGGTAGGAGGGAAAGCAACTGGGAAACAGGAAATAATGAAGGGACTAAGGAGGGAAAAAGTGTCTGAGAGATCAAGCAGAGGACAAATGAGATGCCAGAGCATCACGTGGAGAAGCCCTCATCCCCATGCTCTGGCAGAGGACCAGCAGCTGCCTGCAGCTACTGGAGTCACTGGCTCAGCCACCCCCGGGGCCTGAAGGGAGCCTGGCATGAAGGACACTGCAGTTTGCTCTCTCAGGGCCACTCCTGCAATGGCCCCTTCTGCCATTCCTGGTAACAGCAGAAATTTAGCACTTGGTCATCAGCAGCCAGAGAATGAAATTGTCTTTTCCTCATGGCAAATGTACAGCACTGTTCAGCAGACACAGGGCAGGACTTCTGGTGTGTGGTACCAGCAGGGGGAATTTTTCAGTTTTCTGTTTTCAATTCTCTTTAGATGTGAAATAGTTGGCAAATTATTCAGGGCTTTTTCCTTGCTCTGCTGCCAAAATTATCACAGCATGATCAAGGCAAGGTAAGCACAGAGAAGCCTCCAGACACATTCAGCTTGCGCTGGGAATCTCTGCAAACACTTTTGGTTTAATTGTTAAATGTCTTTCATACTTACCATGTACTTGGAAAGTTACACAAATAGGTATGTTATACAAATCCAATGATTAAAGGTCACTTACTAGTTCATAACAGTAAATATACTGCTGACTGGCAAAGTTAAATACAGTTAACAGAAAAGAATGTGGGAGACATTAGCCAGTGTAATTACTTTAATAGTGTCTATTATCTTTTATGGAGTTTTTACAAAATGCACACACTGTGAAGATACCAAATTAGAAATAAAACTCCAGTAGAACCAAGCCACAACTTAACTATTTAAACCATTGGTAAAAGGACTAGAAAAGGACTCCTTGCAGCTGGATTATTAAGTACTGCAAAATGTAGTGAGACGCATTTTTTCTTTGAGAAACCTTCCTGATCACTGCTTGATACCCCGCAGAAGCATTCCTGAAGGGTGAGCCTGGTCATCTGGGATGCAAGCATCCAGGCTGTGGCTGCATGGCACTGCGGTCTAATGTGCCGCAGAGCTGCCACGAGAGGCCGAGGGAAGGAGAGAGGAAATTCTCACAATTGCCTGTTTCCCCGCAATGCATTAAACGACTGAGTGATCACAGGCCACAACTGAATTACAGGAGTGAGTCACAGAGTTCAAAACAAGAGCATCCACTAATTGTTTCATAGAAGAGGCTCAGGAAAGTATGAAGAAGGATTTTGTAGGATATTCTTTTACTAATTGTGAGCTTTGTAGTCTTTTGTAGCAAAGCCAGACGTTCTGATCTGAGAGTTTATTTTACGACTCATAGACCAGGGAGGGCTGTGTTCCAGGGCTGGGCATCCATCCCTCATGGGCAGCTTTTACTGCTGTGAGCCTGGAATAGCTTTGAAGCTGTCTTCTGGAGCTCTCAGACACCAGCAGATGGCAAATGGGAGGAGGGGATAAATGGCCTTATTCCCAGTCTAGCTGTCCCATCCGCTCTGTGCAAATGTTTTGGTCAGTTTGATTAAGATTTGTTCACCTACATTTCAGGCATTCAAGGCAAGAAGATGATCCTGTAATTTTTTTTTTTACAAATACGCCTATCCCCAAGCCTCCAGACTTGGATGTCTCAATGATCAGCCACTGAGCCTTGCTCAATGGGGCTGTAGAGCCACATACAAGATACGGAAAAGCTCCTGGCTTCTGGTGGAGGTTTACTTTATCAGGGCTGGATCACCATCATCATTTTGGGTGATGAGTGGGAATGAATGGGGGTACAGGAGGCATGTGAATCCAGGGCCCTGCTTTACCACAGTCTGTATCTGCATCCTAAGTGTGTAGTGGAGTGTCACAAAAAGACGACTCATCAGTGCTCCTGTGACACTGTTATACCCTGGTCATGGGCACTGAGGATGTGTATGAGAGGGATGAATGCACTTGCAGGCCCAGGGGTTGCACAAACATCTGGGGACATGCTGCAGGTTAGAAAAAGGGGTGAATCGTCATTCTGGCGATCTGAAGATGAAGATGGATTCCACAGTGCTAATTGCCACAGGGTTACAAGCAGACTGCAATTTTACAGCTGTGGGACTGCCTTGTGGCTGCGCTTCCACCCTTCCCTACTCCTTCCTGACCCACCACCCCCAGCAAGCTGCTGTGGTTGAGTCACACACAGCCCACTTGCTTTTACCATGCTGATTCCCTTGATCTCTTTGGCCTACGTCTTGGACAATCAGTTTGTTACTCCTTCTGGGTAACTCAGCTTCTCTAAATACTCTAGCCCCTGATTTATCTGAATTGTGTCATGTCCTTCTCCCACAGCTCCACCTCTATGTGTGCTCTTAGTTATTTGCATTCAATTTCTGGAATCCAGGAATGCAGAAAACGGTCCAGGATTCAACCTGCACTAGTGGTATATAAATATCTGCCAAAATTTTTTTTTTAGCACATGCTAGGTTACTGTGTACTCATTTCTCTAGGTAATTTCAGATTCTTGGTCTCCAGCTGCTGTCCAGTTGGAAACCCTGAGTTTTAGCTTCCTCCTGTTCTCTCTGTCCTTTGAGGCATGATATCTCCTCTCATTCTTACCACCAACTTTCTGGTTCCATATACAGAAAAGGATCACAGGGTACCTGCTGGACTGTTGTTTTTAGAGCTAAGGCTTATTCAGTGTCTCAACAGGCATCCTTGCAAATCAATGCTAACCAAGGCTCAGTGAGTCTTTTGTCTGGAGTCACGTTCTTTTCAAATTTCAGTCCCAACCTGAGATAAAAATATCAACAGAGAAAGCAGATGAATCAAAATGGGATTTGCAGTTTGGTGGAGAAAAGACCCATGAAGACAGATTTGCTTGGCAGAAGCTCAACTGGTGGGATCAGAGTCAGGCAGGAAAGATTTTATGCAGACATAGTGATTTTTTCCCATTGAGATGATCTGGACACAAAAATTGTAATGCCCAAGAGCTAAAGCCCCTTCCAACACAAACCACTCCATGATTCTATGACGATCTCACCCTTGTTTTTTTCTGAGTGAAAAAATTAAACACTGGCTGCTTGTGGACCTGTCCTCCTCTCAGGGTTCACTTGTGAAGAGAGGTCCCTGCTATTGGGAGCAGCTGGGTTTCTTTGCATTTTTCTTCTATCTGAATTTTTATCAAAAAATGAAGACAAACATTTTTTTCATTACCAAAACAGTGGAAAAATTAGCAGGCTGGGAAGGTGAACAAAAATTGGAAAATCTTGCCAAAAATTGGAAATTTTCCATGTTTTGAACTTGGATTTAATCCAAAATCCATTTGGAGTAAACGTACTTGTGAAATTATTGTCAGAAAAGTGAGAGTTAGCAAAGAGACCTGCCAGGATTCAGAAGGAGCACAAGTTAACAGAAAACTATCACCATTTACTAGAATAGTAACATTTATGGTCTTATGTTTAAAACAACAGCTTGGTCTCAGATGCCTAAAAAAAATTGCAGTACTGCCAAGTCATTAGCTTACAAAGCTCCAGGCCCTGTCTACACACAAGCCTGCCATCAGTTTAACTAAAATCACTATTTAATCCATTTAGAGCAATCAGCACAACCCTTTTTTGGGTAACCAAATTAACCTAAATCAGTACAAGCCTGTTGCAAACAGAGACAAACAATTTAAGGACACTGACATCAAAACCTGCGTTAGCTCAGGCAGTGTGAGTTTTGTGGCAAGGCAGGAGCTCAGGTCACACCAGGGAGACGCTGCAATGGTCCTTTTTACACTGTAAAGCTGTGCCTGAAGCACATCCAGCGGCAGCTTTGTGATCTCAAGTGATCTCTCCTGCATGTTGCAACATGCATGGTTCGGATTCCCACAGCTTCTCCACCGCTTCCACGTGCCCTGCTCGTTTAGGAGCTGAGCTCCCCTCACCCTGTCCTTTTCCCAGCCCTGAGCCCTGACAAACCCAACCATTCTGCTGGGGGAGCTTGAGGTGAAAGGTGTAAGACACGACTGGCTCCATCAGAAAGCGTTCAGCTTCAATGACCCAGGAAACCTTGTTTAAACTCGATTCTCCTCTGCTGTAATGCATGAGAGCCCAAGTACAGACACAGCCCTTTATACCAATATCTTCCCTCCCCATGTTTGCAGCTGCCTGGCCAGGAAACCAGGTCTCTTCTCAGGAGACCTCCTGCATCCTTCTCATGGTAAGCAAGGAGGAAAACACCAGCAGCAGCTGGCCCAGAGCACAGGCTGTTCCCCCGATGTGCAGGGTCCCAGTTGCTGTGGCTGTGCTCAGCCCCTGTAGGGGCTGCCCAGTGCTCTCCCATAGTGAGCAGGGGGGCAAAGCTCCCAGCAGGGCCACCCTCCAGCCAAACACAGCATTCACCTGGAAGGAGCCCGGGCCCAAAGTGGGCTCAGGGATTTCCTCAGCTCAGTTTAGTTAGCTGAGTCAGTAACCTGCAATGGCTCTCACACTCTCCAAGGGCTTGCCCAGGCCCCCCTTGAGCCACTTTACCCACATGGTATCCATGGGTGAGGGGCTCCCCAGGTCTCCATCCACTATGCAAGGCACCAGCTCCTGCTCCTGCTCTGAGCCAGGCTATGGCCAGCCACAGTTGTTGGTGTCTAATTCTTCACTTGACAGAGATGGTAAATGGTTGCTCCATATCCACATTCTTTATGGCACACGTAACTCTGCAGACCTCTATTAAAGCCTCCCTATCCAATCCACTGGACTTCCACAGTTTCCTTTCATAGAGAAACCATTCCCTACCTTTAGTCATCCTTTCTGCCCTTCTCAGTTCTGCCCTTTTCCAGTTCTGCTATATCCTTTCTGAGATAGGGGAACAGAGTCACACTCAAAAGCAGGTGACCCAGGGATTCATACCATGACATTACAGCATATTCTTGTCTTTATTCCTAGTCTTCATAATTCCTAACATATGATTGGCTTTTTTGCTTCTTGACAAGCATTGAGTTGATATTTTCTTGGAAAAAATCCCAGTATTTTGAAGGGGTACACAGGGATTATTTTTCCCTATGTGTTATCGCTTCACATCCACCTGCATTCAGTCTATTTCCCCATCTTGTCGCTCTGCAGGTCTGTATTGCTCTTCTGCATTTATTTTAGTCAATTGTTGTCTTTACTACAGTGGATGTCTCACCATAAGGAAACTCACAAAATCAAACAAACCTTACAGGTCACTTCATTTTTCACATCTTTATGTGCATGCTCCATGTGTGTGCACAGGGTGGCGGAGAGGGAAGTGCACAGGAAATAAGGCAAAAATACAAGCATGTACTCATACACCAGTTATTCCATTTTCGGGTGTTGCATCAGCAAACCCCCATGGTAACACCCTATTGCAAAATGTGACTCCCAAATCAAAGGAAATCAGCATCAGAAGAGAAGCAGGGCCACGGGCAGGCCAGGGAAGGGCTGCCAAGGTTTAGAGAGAGCTTTGTAGCTGCCTATCTCTGTGTTTTCCTGTTGCCAAGAAGGAGCATCAAGTTCAGCTTTCAGAATTCCTGGTGACCTCAGGGGAGCTTTGAGCTTTGACCTGAGGGATGTAGTTGCTGAGTTTCAGTAGGTTAGAGATGCCACTAATTTCCCCATCAGAGCCAGGGACATCAAAATGGTTTTACTGAAAACACCAGCTGGAATCTCACTTGAGTTTATCATAATGACTGAGAGGACTCAAAGTGTCTCCTACCTTTATACACAGTGCATGTTGGGTCCTGTACATTCAGAGGTTCATATGAAATCTCAGTCTTTGTTAAGCTGCGGCAGAAAAAGACGGAAATCCCTCTGAAACCTGTGATCTTCCAGAGGCAAAGGAACTGCTTTAAAACAAACCAGCATCTCCTTCCTCCCGTGGCTGTAATCCAGAAGGCAGTTTACATTAATGAGGTATCTGGCCCCCAGCTAAGCTACAAAAAGCCAAAGATGCTCAGATACGACTGTGACAATGTAACATAAAACAGGGCTAATTTTGTATTGTAGAGTGCCTGGGTAAAAGCAGGTTTCTGCAGCCACACATCCAGACACACCAGTCTCACCCGATCATTTCCAGTGTGCCAGTCCACCACCCTGGAACTGGGTACAGGATGGACAGGAACTCTGGGTGTAAGAACAGGGGATCTATGCTCTTCTATGGCTTTCAGTCCCAAAGTGGGTATCCTGTGAAAGGTAGCCTGTAGAAGAAGGACTTCACATTATTCTTGAACGACCTTTAGAAGAATAAAGAAGAATCTCCATAGAGACAGGGCCACTATTTTTAATTCTATTGATGCAATTTTGCAAGTGATTGGTTTTGGTGCCTTTCCACTGGGACAATCCAAGAGATAACTGTGGTTGTGTCATGCCCTTAAAAAGCCTACTGCGAAGTTTCATCATCCCTGTGCTGTGGTGCATGCCACGTCTCTCCCAGACAGCACGGGGCAAGAGAGAGACAAGGGACCAGGACACCAGAAGGCACCAGCACACCTTTAGCATTAACTGGACAATGTCCTAGGGTTTAAACACCAACCACAGCCCCCCTCTGTTCAGAGAGCATGGCACAGCCACTTCTTTTATCCTACAGACACACAGTGGGTTTGAAGCCTCTTGTGCTTTCTTAGCTGAGGGTTTGCTGTGACAACGGCAGTCAGAGCAGGGAAGCATGCAGGCACAATTCACACATGCAGAAGCATTTGATTTTATACCAGGAGTTTAACAGCAAAAAAAGGTTTGCTTTTTTTTTTTTTTTGTATAGGTAGCATGATTAGAATATAAATTCAGGAATTTAGGACTCTGGTCTACTTATTAGCACTGGTACTCCTTGAAAATACTAGTTCAAATAAGAGCATTTGTATAATTCACAAATCTGAAAAAACATGTCTAGTCAAAGTTTCTCATGGCTTTTTATTTATTTGTCTTCAAAACACCATATAAAAATATGATGAGATATAAAATAAACATATGCTATTCCCTGGTATTCCCCAGATTTCCAAGTAGTAGAACATGCGAAGTATAAATTATTACTATCAGAGGCCTACCTAAGTCTATAAGTGAAGTTTATACCACACCACTAATCGTGTTTAGAAGAACTTAAAGAGAAAACAAAAAATAACTTGTAACTCAAAACCAAAAGCTTGAGCACTCCACAAGCTGGACACTAGGTGGCAGAAATATTATACGTTCTCTAATAATGAACAAACACCCTTTCAGTAAGAAGGCAGGTCCAGAGAAGTTATAGCATATACCTCAAATAAATTGGAAGTTTATAGTGTCCCTATGTTTCCTGATCAGTCCCAGAAGAGCACATGCCCTGTTAAGGTCGGGTTGAAACCTTTTATGTTCTTTACAACAGGCATTACCATTTAGTCACAACCCCAGGCCTCTTGCCACAAATGGCCATGGCTTCCCTTTCCCCATAGAGCATATTTTTAAAGGAGGACCCAGGTAAGCCCTACCCCATTTAAGAGATGATAAAATTTTTTGTAGTGAGGTAAGGATCTCAAATGAGCCCAAGTGATTTAGGAACCTCGGTGTAGCTGTGGGTTGGTAGCTCACCCCAGGTAGCTCAAATTAAGAAATAAGGATCTACATTATTTACTAAGTATCGCTTTGCTCCTGTAAAGCAGCATTTCTCCTGCAGCCCATCAACCATGTGCCACCACAGGCAGAGGCTTAGCTGAAAAGGCTAGAAAAAACGCTTGGGAAGGAGGCAAAGGAAACAGGTGTCAGCATATGTCCTGCCCACACCTTGCCCTCTTCTTTGTGCCCTGTCAGCAAAGACACATAAAATATAAATAAAATAATTCATAAATATAAAATAGAAGGCATCAGAACTTTATGAAGGCCACCAGGAGGTTCTGCATCTGTGTTTCTGACACCATCTCCTGCTCACTGGGCACGTGTAAATGCACATATGTGGCAGGTCACAGACCTGCACATGCAAGTGACCTCAGCATTTCGGTGGTGCAGCTTCCGCCCTTGGCTGACTCTGGGAGCAGAAGGAGCTGAGGCTCACAGCCGTGAGAGCTGGGCTGGAGGTTAAAGAGCCACATCAAGTTCCAGGCTCCTGACTGATTTGCTGTATGGCCTGACACAACTTACTCATCTTCCCTTGCAGCCCTGGCATCTGCTGCCTGTCACATTTCCTTCCAGGTGTGGGGTACAAAGCAAAACATACCTTCCAACAGTACTTGCTTCAAGGAGAGAAACAACCCTTGTTTCCTCCTAAAACAAGACTCCTGGCACTTAACAATGTTTCTGTGACATCTGAACTCCCAGGATGGACTGTTCAAGCACATCCTTTGCCCCTCTGGTTCCTGCCCCAAGCATAAAAAAGCTCATTTTAACAAAAATCAGCACTATTTCCAGATCAGTTTTTTCAGCTTCTCTTCTTGGGGCCATCTGAGGAGAGGACCTTGAGGAAGAATTAAATGGAACTAGTAGGACCCTTCCACATTAAAAGGGACTTGCAAGCCTGCAGGAAAGCTTAGGGTTGCAGGAGAAGTACCCAAACCTAGATGATGTCCCACAAAACCTGCACTGCACCAATAGCCAAGAAACAGTTTATGATGAGCTCAAGAAGTCATCTGACCTGTGTTGTGGCAGTGGAGGAGCAGAGCACACACAGCAGCGCCTTTCTTTGGGGGGAATGAACATCTGCATGACATGAAAACACCACTAGGGAAAAGAAAAAAAAAAACAAAAAGAGAATGAAGCCACATATCACTGGTCTGCAAAATCCAATAGTGGAGGCTCAGAGTTCAGCCCCCCCGGGTGGCCAGAGGGACACCAGAGCCAGCCTGTCCAGCCTGTGGGAGGAGTTGAGAAAGGAATCATCACATCACTTTTGGCCAGTGTTCAGGGAGGCACCGACTGGCTCCAGAAGAAGTCATCAGCAAGTCTCTTCTTCTACATTCTGCAAATAGGCCTTTCAAAGGAATGATGGGTGAGGTAAAAAGAGGTAGAGTTGGTGGGAAATCAAACTCCTCAAAGACAACCTTCCTCAGAATTGGAGAAGAAACTTCTTTCATGTTTGTAGGTAATTTTCCTTGGCTCGTGATGATTGCAAACCTCAGAATAACTATGGTTTGCTCACCTGCAAAAGCAGCATGAGGTCTGCCCACCCATCCATGACACACGGCACCATGGCTTCTGTAGGACATACGCACCAGGCCTTATCCAAATGCAGGAATACCAGACCTCTCCCCTCAGAGCATAAATTTCCAAATTTGAAGGTGCAAGTAGACAAATCTACCTAAGAAATCGGCCGATTCCTCTTCCTGCACGGAAATGTTTTACCCCAGGATTCCAGCTAAACACGGAAAAGACTGAACCATGGGATGGACATAGGCAATGGCTCAAAAGAACAGTACAGCCTAAGAGAAAAGGTTTTTCAAACCACCACAAGGATAAGTAAAGAAAGGGAAGAAACAGAGAGGGGGTTGAAGCAGCAATGACAGCGAAATGGACCCGTAAACAGCACACAAGGGGAAAACTGTGGTCACCGTAAGCATTCCTTTATGTTAAAAACTGTATCTAACCATGTTTCTAACAACTGTGGATGACAGTGATTCACACATCAAGGTTTGTGGCTATCAATATGTGGGTGAAGGGAATGTGGATGGGAAGTAGGGTCGTATGGGAACTGAGAGCTTGTTGATTTGTGACAGCATGACTGGAAGCCTGCAAAACCTGCTCAGTCCAGGACCTGCAGGTTCTCAGCTTCTCAGGAAATCAAGTTCCCCTTATTTATGGCCCAAGGCTAGATCAATGCTTTGGGGACCTTGTGGTAATTTTAAATTCAGTTCCTACGGTCAGCTCCAAGTCTCTTTTATAGCTGAGTCACCTGGTTTCGAAGTGTTGTTCCAACTTCTTGCAGGGCTGTCTTCCTGTCACACGTCCTCCCCAGTCCCACCCTAATTGCATGTGCACCCGCTGTCCTGTGGCTCAGCCTGCTCTTCCTCCATGCTGTCCCACTCCTTGCCACTCTTCCCCTCTTTGTCTCTACCTCACTTCCTTCCATTTCGCCTCTCCACTGGCCTTCGCCCTTTCCAACTAACCCTTTACTGTCACACTCCAGACTTTCTGAAGTTTTGACAAGTTTCTTTTCCAAAATGGGAAGTGGTAAACCAACCTACTACTACACATCATCTTCTCGTAAAAATCCTGTGACTTTATCTCCCCCACCTTTTACCATCTTCCTTTTGTTTGTCTTGGCTACCCTCTTCCCTACTCTTAAACTACAAACTCTTTGAGGGCAGTACCAGAATCCAGTCTGGATTCCATAAGGCACCTAATATGCTAAATATTATAAAAGATCCTTTTTCTTTTTTCTTTTCTTATTTTTTTTAATTTTGATTTTCAGTAAACTCACTGAAAATCCAAGTAAGCAGGACTTTAAGTAGGCAGACATACATGTCTTGTCAACAGGAAATTTCTCTTGCATAACTTCTCTGGCAGTTCTGGAAAGCTAAATGCGGGTGGGTTTATTTTCCTCACTGCAACTTAACAGTCAGGAAAAAAAAGTGAACCCATAAAGAAAAATCATTTCTGAGAAAGGAGATTCCAGAAAGGCAGATGATTTTTAGCACGCAGAGCTGCCCTCGTGAAACATCTGCTATGACGTAGTCCTGTTCTGGCTGTAGACCAAACGTATCAATAGCTCCATAGAGTAATGGGATAAGAAATGGGAAAACTGCCACTGCTTGTTTAGCAGCTTGTTTTGCTGATAAATGTCTGTCACTTTTCAAATAGCTACAGCGCAATTGTTTTTGGGGGAAAATATTTCCTTGCGAAGGAGGTTTGCAGGCCATTAGCTACTTCCCATCTGTGCCGGTGTTTTAACACACTGCACATACACTTTGCTCCCTATTAGAAATTATTCACAGCTTTTGATTATGGGCAGGCAGCCTGAAGTTTAGAAATCATGTCTGTCATTAAAAAGATTCCTCTTGCCCTATTGAAAATTTAAATCTCAAAATCAGTAGAACCAGTGTGTATTTTTTGAAAGAGCATCTACTTTTAAGGATTGCTAGGGAAAAAATGCACTCTTTTTAGGCATCTGTAATTTTAAAATGATTGTACAAAAGCAAGAGCTGACTAAAGTGGTGGCCACTGTGTGCTTGTTCCATGGCTAGAGGCAGAATGTCACTAAGCCAAGTACAGCTATGTGCTGGAATTCATCTC